GGAGGTGGCTAGTGGTGGAAATTTACCGCGGCCGCTTTAACGGCGAGGTAAATACCCACCACTAGCCACCGACCATATTGAGTTTGTTGCGATTTGGTGACCATGTATTGTTGTTTCCAGGCTCCACAGCAATGATGCTGGGGTTTCAGGCCCCCTACTCTCAGACGTTTTGTGATTCTTCTTATACATTTTTTTCACCCGACCAACCGACCCAAAATCAGGAAAAGCATTCGAAGCTAAACGGAAAAAAAGAGGCTGCCCTGCAAAACTTTTGCAGGCAGTGCTTCAGCAAGAACAGCATGAGCAGATGAGGTTATCACGAGTATTCTTGATCGAAACACACTCTAGAGATGACTTTTCGCTCTAAATACAATTAATCCTGTTCAAACTTATACCCTTCCGTTATTCTTTCACCGGAATTACGTAGCAAAATTAAATTCAAGCGTAAACGAACAGAATTAAAAAAAGAAATCAATGACGCTCGTAGCACGAACCCGCGCGGTCGGCAGTCCAAAACGCGTTAAATACGAAAACCGGATTTCAAATTATATTAATTCTATATTAAAGACTAATTCTGAGATTCATAACCGATCCACTCGTTTTGCAAATTTAAATTTTCATTGTCCTGTTTTTAAGAAAAACACAGTTAAAGGAGGCCGGACCTTTAGCGTGCAAACCATTAGAAATTGGAACGAATTGTCCATGGACGTAAAGAAGGTGAAAAATGTGAAATCTTTTAAAGAGAGATTGTATACGAATTTGATCGCTAAGCAAAACGAGACAGGTAATTTTGAATATCTTTTAAACAGTTTTTAAATAGTTAAATAACTTGTTTTAGATAGTAAATATTTTTTAAATAGTTAAAATTTCTATCACTATAGGACTTTAGATAGTTTTCTAAATACTATTTTTGTTTGTTTTTAAATTGTCTTTTAATGTTAATTTTTATCTTTTTATAGTGATAGTGTAAATTATAACGCCGCGCAATATAGGCAAAACTCTCAAATTCTGCTTAACCCTCTAGAATTTGCTTTTTTGACCATATTTGGGTGTAAATAAGATCCCATATTTGGGTAGAGACGTCATGGCCTTGTATTTACAACTCGTGCTCCGAAATTGGGTGATCAGTGTGCAGCTGTTTGTTGTCTGTTCGAGAGGACGTAATAGGTGAGCAAGCTTTAATACGATTTCTAGTTTGAAAGGGCAATTAGTGCTCTGGTTCGCTTTATAAATTGCGTTTAAAACAGCAGCTGATCAAGGAATAGGGTTTTACGCTCAAATTTTTGTCAGAATCAGCTTGTTCTTTGCTGCTCGATTTATATTGAGGTAGCGTGTTCGTTTCTCGACTCAGAACCAGGGTTTTCAGTGTTCTCTTTTCCTTTGTAAATTGAATTTTAAGCGGTAGTTGATCAAGGCATAGGGTTACATTCTCAAACTTTTTATCAGAACCAGCGTGTTCTTCGCAGGTCGATTTATATTGAGCCAGTCCTCACCTCCCGTGAGGAATGCAACGTATTTGCGGACCTTTTTTTTAGAATTTATGCATGTCTTTCGAGAGATTTTGTCAACCAGCATGTTTTTTTTGCTGCTCGATTTACATTGAGACAGCCCAAAACTCCCATGAGGAATGCAACGAATTTGCAGATCCTCTGTTTTGAAGACTATCATTATGCCTTTCAAGAGACTCTTTGTTCTGTGACACTCGCTCATATTAGATCGTTGTTTTTTATTCAAGTTTATATTTTTATACCTCTGATAAATTCCGCCCTATTCTTGCCCTATTTTACTTTATACCAAGTTTTTTTATTTAATATTTTACCGCGCGAAATATTTTTCTTATCCCTGATGCGGCTGTTGCTCAGAATTTAATTATTATTTTTAATTTCAACATTCAAAGACCTAGTTTGAACTATATTTTTCTTTCTAACGTTTATAGTTTTGATACAATGGAATTTTCCATGAAACATAAGTGCTAACTTGCTCGTATTTACCAACAAAGCTTGAAGCCATGTTGTCAGATTGTTTAATAAAAGTGAAAGCCTAGAATGCGCCAAAGTGGTTGTTTTGAAGTTGGGTGCCATCCTTTTCTATAGCGGAATCCATTTTAAACCTCTTAAATTATGGAAAAAAATCGCGTAGATCTGAATAGGCACACGTTCCACAAAAGATAAACGAATTCGCCTCGTTGGCACTTGCCGGAAGCTACCCCTAGTTTTTATGTTTTATAGAGGGCCACAAGTTTATCAGTTTTTTCATAACTGTCACGTGTTTACCCTCTTTAAATAAAGGCGTTACCTTACCTTACCTAATTCCACTTGCATGGTAACTTGGTTGCCTAACAACGAGATACGACAATGGGCCGGTGTACATCATCCGGGGCAGAAAGCAAGAAGAGAAGAAAAGGTGGTAGAGTTGCCTTTAACAAATAACCGCTAACATTATAGTTATCCGAAAAGAAAGTATATTATACTGTTTCTTTCGTTCCCTATGATTACACAACAGATATCTAAATATCAAAATCAAATCAAATATTTATTATGTAAGAATACACAAAAGGAAACGTCAGAGGTTATCCCTATCGAGGACGCTCCCTGCCTAAAATATAAAATAAATACAGTACAATGTAAAATTTAAGAATAATTAAGAAATGAAGAAAAAAAATTACAAAATTTCACAACACTTTCTAAGTTTACTTCGAAAAATGCTGAAATCCTGTTCGTGCACTATCTCTTTAGGAAGAGCGTTCCACCGTTTAATAATTCTAACAAAGAATGAGTGCAAAAAACAATTTACTCTAGCTAATGGCTGTCTTGATTTAAATGAATGTTTTGATCTTGTTTGACCATAACAATTAAATTCAAAAAAATCATTACTCAACAGTTAAGGCCATTAAGACCACGAATAGTCTTGTAGCACTCTAGAAAAGATAGATAAGACCTCCTTGATTGAAGACTGGACCACCCAAGCATTGCCACTCGCAGTCTTTCTTCGTACGGAGAGTCACTAGATGACATCGGGAGAGCGTATTTCGAGGCCCTACGTTGGACTCGTTCAAGAGCGTCAATGTTCTTCTGTAAATAGGGTGACCAGAGAGGGACAGCATATTCCAGAATGGGTATAACCAAGGCCTTGTACAGACGAGAAAAGACTTCCTTGTTCCCTGGACCAACATTCCTTTTAAGGAAACCCAACAATCTTGTTGGCTTTATTTACAACTTTCTGCGTTGGGGTGTTCCAGGATAGATTAGAAGTCAATGACCCAAATACCACCTGCGTCAAGTGCTATTTTGCTTAAACTGTTTCCTCTTTCTCTGAGATTATAAATCAGACTACTAAATCCCATAAGGGCTGTTATATGAAAGGGACGAGAATGCTTGTCAACTTGAATTTGTTAGGAGTGTAAGGGCCTGTTTAAATAGAGGTGTGGGGGGGGGGGGGGGGGG